GACTGTCTCAAAGACAAAATCTCACCCATCCTACCCCAACCTAGCCACTTCTGCCTACAACAGTTCACGGTCATCCTCTCTGGATACATTGGCCCTTCTCACTACACATAGAATCAGGCCCAGACCGCTACAACCTTGGCAGACAATACCAGAAGTCTCAAAAAAAAGAAAGTCGCAGTCTTGAGAGTATGTGACATAAGACTAAAGCCTGGTGCACGTGTTAAGTTTTTTTCCCGTTCATCAAGAGAAAACTGAGGGGCTTTCGAGGAGGTCTCTGTACCAACGATGTGGAGTCAGTACAGTGATCTCCCCGCTGAGCTATTGTGTTCTGACAGGGGGACCACTGCCATCCCCCTGCCAGAACACACAAGGCATTGGCTGAGAGAGCTGATCAGCTATTGATTTTCCAGCGTTCTCGTTCGACAGAAGCCAGTCGTGAGATCAGCTTCTGTCAAACAAGGACCTGCACACACGGACCGAATGTCAGCCAGTTGTTCAGCCCGTTTGTACGGAGTTTTAGTCCCAGCAATACATCAACCAATATAAATCTTCCCTCCAAAAATACAATTCCTGCCACTACACCACCAAACAGATATATTTTATCTCTCATTAACACCCGCTCATGCAGTCCCCGTCAACTCTTTTCTACATTTAACTCTCTAATTCATCCTTCACTTCCTCCACCCACTAGCTTGCGATCTTCTGGGCATTAAGTAAAACACAAAAAATAAGACTGATACAATGCATGACAAGATCTCCACTGTACAGATATATCCCCCACCTTACATTCCATGTCCACCTGCACACTCAATACTTCCCTCATGATGGTCACTAAATATTTTTTCTAATGGGACACCTTACCACCTGCTCCCTGGACCCAGTTGACCAACTCCTCCTCCGAAGACTCTATTCCCTTGGTCTCGGACTACTCTTTTTGGTTCTCAACTTACCCATCTCACCGCACCTTCAGTGTCACTTACAACTCTATCTCACTCTCTCCTATACTTTTCTTTCCTGTTGAGGTCTCCCATGGTTCTGTCCTTGGACCTCTTTTTCTCTTTTCTCCATGTACACATCCTCCCGAGTCAGATTCCCATGGCTTTCAATATCATTTCTATGCTGATGACACCCAAATCTTTCTTTCTACCCTTTAGCTCACTCCATCAATCTCCTCACACATCACCGATTTACTAACAGACATATCAATATGGATATCACATCATCATATCTATAACTGAGCTCATAATATTTCCTCCACCACATGCCCCTTCACCTGACTTCTGTCAAGATTGGTGGCACAACCATCAATTCATCCGCACATGCCAGGGTGCTAGGGGTAACCCTGGACTCTGAATTCTTTTGGTCCCACATCCAATCACTGTCCAAATCATGCTGCCTTAATATTTCCAAAATATGACCTTTTTTAACCAATGACACCACAAAGCTTCACTCCCTGGTTATCTCTGCACTGCTTCTCCTGCTAACCCCCTAAACAACTCCAAAAACATATTACATCTGCAGCAGTGTAAAATACAATTCAGCACGATTACTTGCAGAGACTATAAGAGAAAGGCGCGTAAACCATCAACATTTTAAAATGCAATAAGCAGTTTCAGACAAATTTCCCTATAATTCTGCTCTAAACAGCAACCTACCTGTCCTGACAGATTCTATCTGAGAAGCCCTAATTATAGTAATCCCTAAACCTGACAAGGACCCCTCCTGTCCAGAATCCTATCGCCCTATCTCCCTCTTACAGGTAGACATTAAGATTTTGGCTAAAGTTTTGGCCTTGCGTCTTAGTCAGGTAATCCTATCTCATATACACCATGACCAAACGGGATTCATGCTGGGTAGAAACACCACCATGAACATTCAAGCTTCTCATGATGAAGTGGGTACCAGAGCAGTGGTGATGCTGGATGCTGCGAAGGCAATTGACTGAGTGGGGCTACCTCTGGGAGTGTCTGGGGGGATTTAGTATTGGTCCCAATTTTATTAAATGGGTGCAATTGCTGTATTACTCCCCTATTGGTAGGGTAGCTGTCAAAGGGTGGGTATCAGACTCCTTTCCCCTGGGTCGAGGGACCAAACATACCTTATTGTATGTGCTTGCGGCAGAACCCATAGCCATTTTGCTCAGACGCCATCCCGATATTAGGGGCCTCCAGGTGGTCTCCCTGGTGGAAACAATTGGAATGTATGCGGACGATATGCTTCTTTACCTGGAAGATACAGGCCCCTCTCTATGGACTGCTTTACAGACTATTGAGGATTTTGGAGTACACTCTGGGCTGCATAGCGATTAGAGTAGGTCGCAGATCCTTCCCCTGGATGTCTGTCCTCCATCATACATTTCTGGTTCCCTGCCTCTACGCAGAGTCTCCGTAATTTCAGTGTCTAGGGGGTTTCTATTCCCAGGGAGCTCCGGGATTATCCTACGCTTAATATCAAGCCGCTATTTATCTTCCTGAAGACACATATCCAATCATGGGCAAGGTTCCCACTGTGGGTCATGGGGAGAATTCATTTAGTTAAAATGATCCTCCTTCCCAAATTCCTTTACATTTTCAGGCACTCCCATGTATTACTACCCTTAAAAACCTTTACAACACTTCAAGGAACCTCAACTCGTTTATTTGGGGTTCAGGCAGCAACAATCTCTCCTGGCTTGCACTCAAAAACCCCACCACGATAGGGAGGGGGCACCATCCTGGATCTTCCTTCTTACTATTTTGTGGCGCAGTTGTCCAATTTTTTTTCGCCTAGATAAGTTCGAGGTGCTCAATATCAGGCCCTAGTGTGCAGGCAACCTGGTCACACGTTTTCCCCTCTACAGCTGGCTCTGCGAGATGGTGGGCACCTCGGTGCCTATGTGCCTCGAAACCCATTAGCACACCAACATAAATGTATTTGAGAGCTAGCACATCAACATGTAAATGCCCCTTCTTACCACTCACATGTTCCCCTCTGGCTCAACCCCCGGCTGCCCAAATTCCTCACTATTACTAACTCTGAGGTATGGTCCTCTAGAGGTATTATATACCTTTGCCAGGTGATAGTGCCCTCTGGGCCCAAGCCGTTCCAAACCCTAAAAGAGGAATTTGATCTCTCCAATCATATGCTATTTAGATACCTACAGCTACGACATGCCTTGCAGGCCCACTTCCCTGAGCGAGCCCCTCTTCTTCAACCCTTATCTCTGGGTCTGAGCTTTCCAAGTGGATTTCGGTTTTATATACTGCATTGCTCACCCAGATGGTGATTAGTATAGTGAAAGGGGCCAAATCCTGGTGGGAGACAGATGTTGGGCCATTGGAAACAGAGGTCTGGGAACAGATATTGGAAGGCACCAAGCTGGCATCACCGAGACTACCTGATAGACTTACCCAGCTTTACATCATGCATCAAGCTTACCTTACACCACTTCAGATCTCCAGATTTTGCCCCAAGCAAAGCCCCTTGTGCCCCCGATGCCTCAAGGAAACTGGTACTTGTCACCTCCTATAGTCCTGCCCAATCATCCAGACATACTAGGAACAAATCATTAAGTTCTTTGCATGACCATATGGGCTCTCCTCTACAATTAGATCGCAAAGCATGTCTGCTCAGCCTCCTCCCAGACCTGTTCGAGGATAAGTTCCCCTCTTCAGTCTATCATGAATGCTGCTGCCAGACTCATCCACCTTACTAACCGTTCTGTATCTGCCACTCCTCTCTGCCAATCCCTCCACTGGCTTTCCATTGCCCAATGGATAAAATTCAAAACATTAACAATAATGTATAAAGCCATTTAGAACTCTGCCCCAAATTACATCACCGATCTTGTCTCTAAATATCACCCAAACCGTACTCTCGCTCCTCGCAAGACCTCCTGCTCTCTAGCTCCCTTGTCTCCTCCTCCCATGCTAGTCTCCAGGACTTCTCCAGAGCTTCCCCATCCTCTGGAACTCTCTACCCCAATTTATCAGACTATCGCCTACTCTGCTCACTTTTAGGCGATCTCTGAAAACCTCTCTCTTCAGGGAAGCCTATCCTGCCCTCAGATAATAATGGAATCTTTTACTCTTCCAACCAGTCCATCCCCCACAGTTACTACCTTTTGTACCACTAGCCCCTCCCTCCTAGATTGTAAGCTCCGAGGAGCAGGGCCCTCCTATCCCTCTTGTATTGAACTGTATTGTTGCTGTATTGTCTCTCATTATATTGTAAAGCGCTGAGCAAACTGTTGGCGCTATATAAATCCTGTATAATAATAATAGTCACCCTTTTACATTAATCCCTATTCAGTGCTCAGAACTTAGTTGCATGCCACTGGATGCAAGCAACCGTTCATGTCCTTCAGGCATGGTTGATTGAAGTGAACTAGACTCTACCGTGTAAGAAATTAATTTTTCATAGGGGTTGCCCCAACACAATATGGGACAGATGGAGTCATACAGTTATTACTTATGTGACTTGATTGAGCAGGGGTGCTTGTGCCCGTTTACCCCGCCCCCCCCCCCCCCCCCCCCCCCCCCCCTCACTGAATTTCTCATCACTCTACATAGAAGGCATAGAATATTTGAGTCTATTGATATTCTGTTTGAACTATGTTGTATCCACGGTTTAATGTCTCGTTTTCTCAAATGTTTATTGGAAGTTTCCTTGTTACAGAGCATGTAATCTTTATTGTGCAATATGTAGTGTCACTGTACCTTGTTTTACCTGTTGTTAATAAAGTTGTTTCAATGTTACACAGCAACCTACCTCTCTAACTAGATCCTGCTCAAGATTATGCCTACTAAGCAACATTCGCCTCTTGAACCGACGGCACTCCAGCTCTAGGTACTGCCTCTGACGTCGAAGAAGATTGGCTTCTTCCTCAGCTTGGAAATGCTGGAAATTTTCCTTCTGCTTTGAGAGCCATTCCTGTTTCTCTTTCTTTGGAGTGCTCTGGTTTTCATTCAGCTCCTGGTGAGGAAACACATGTCAGCTATGAAAACCAAACAATGCAATGAGTTGTATTTTCAACAAGATTTCAGTGCTCATAACTTCGTACCTACACATCCTTATCTTATAATAATTAAACTAAATTATCTCGAACACATTGTTTGCTACTAAAAAAATAATCTTTTACCTTCTGTACTATTTTGTATTACTGCTTAGAATAACAAAAAAAACCCAAAAAACGTACATTAGCATCAGGTCTTTTCTTGAACCCTTACCCTCTCACTGTCAGCCTATGTTGCGCATATATATATATATATATATATATATATATATATATATATATATATATATATATATATATATATACACACATATATATATATATATATATATATATATATATATATATATACATACACACACACACATACATACACACACACACACATACATACACACACACACAAATTTATACATACGCATATATACACACATACATATACACACACACACACAGTGCACAACTATTAGGCGAGTTGTATTTTTTGCGGATTAATTTCATTATTGAACAACTAGCATGCTCTTGCTCAATCCAAAATATTATTAAACCTCAAACCTGAATTTTAAGAATGTAAAAGTGAGCCATTCATGGAGTCTGTCAGTTTCGTGATATGTTGACTATCAACTTTTTGTGCAGCAGCAACCACAGCCTCCCAGAAACTGTTCAGAGAGGTGTATGGTTTTGCTTCACTGCAAATCTCCCCGTTTATGAAGGGCCCACAAGTTCTCAATAGGGTTTAGGTCATGTGAGGAAAGGGGCCATGTCATTATTCTTTCATCTTTAGGACGACGGAGCATTGTCCTGCATAAATATCATGGTCTTCTTGAAAGATGCAGGCTTTTTCCTGTACCACTGCTTGAAGAAAGTGTCTTCTAAAAACTGGCAGTAGGTTTGGGAGTAGATTTTGAGTCCATCTTCTGCCCGAAAAGGTACAATTAGCTCATCTTTAACCACTTGCCCTCCTGAGGATTTACCCCCCTTCCTGACCAGGCCATTTTTTGCGTTACGCCGCTGCGTTATTTTAACTCACAATTGCGTGGTCATGCATTGCTGCACCCAATTGAAATTTACATCCTTTTTTTTCCCCCACGAATTGAGCTTTCTTTCGGTGGTATGTGTGTTTGTTTTTTGTGCTATAAAAAAAAAAAAATACCGACAATTCTGAGGAAAAATCAATATTTTTGACTTTTTGCTATTTAATATGTCAAGTAAAAAAAATTTTAATAAAATAAAATTTTGTCATAAAATTACACCAAAATGTATTCTGCTACATGTCTTTTATAAAAAAAAAAAAAAATCCCAATACGTGTAAATAAATTGGTTTACGTGAAAGCTGTAGCGTTTACAAAATGGCAGTATATATACTGGGATTTTTTTTTTAATTTTTATTAGTAATGGCGGCGATCAGCGACGTATAACGGGACTGTGGCGGACATTCTGAAACTGGGGGGAACTGACTTGGTGTCACTGACATCCCCAATGACATCAATAGTGATCAGTGCAAAAAAAAAAAAAAAAAAAAAAAGCTCCGACACTATATTAATGGACTAATGGCACTGGGTTAACATGAGGGGCGATCAAAGGATTAACTGTGTGCAGGAAGTGTTTTGCTAGGGGGCGGTGTCAGTGTGCTTCACTGTAATCACACTGCTTTGGGTGGCTGTGCAGTTCTCCTCCCTGCAAGCTCATGCACACTGCCATGCAAAGTAGTATGCTTACAGTGAAGCACACAACACAGCACATAGTAAAACAGCACACAGTTAACCCTTTGATCGCTCCTCATGTCAACCCCTTCCTGCCCAGCGCCATTAGTGTAGTGTCAGTGCTATTTTTTTTTTTTTTCCAGCATTGATCACTGTATTGGTGTCACTGGGGATGTCAGTGACACCAAGCCTGTTCTCCCAAGTCTCAGAATGCCCGCCGCAGTCCCACTATAAGTTGCTGATCTCCGCCATTACTAGTAAAAATTAAAAAAAGAAAATCCCAGTATATATACCGCCATTTGTAAACACTATAACTTTCATGTAAACCAATTAATTTACATGTATTGGGATTTTTTTTTTTTTTTTTAAAGCAAAGACATGTAGCAGAATACATTTTAAATTTATGATGAAATTAGATTTCAATTTTTTTTACTGGACATGTTTAATAGCAAAAAGTCACAAATATTGTATTTTTTCTCAAAATAGCTGGTCTTTTTTTATAGCACAAAAAACAAAAAATAAAAAAACCGCACAGGCGATCAAATACCACCGAAAGAAAGCTAAATTTGTAGGGAAAAAGGCCGTAAATTTCATTTGGGTGCAGCGCTGTCAATTGTCAAAGTAACGCAGCGACATAACGCAAAAAATGGCCTGGTCAGGAAGGGGGGAAAATCCTCTGGTGGGCAAGTGCTTTTCCAGCAACAAACGTCAATATTCTAAATTTCCATAGGCGATGCTTTAAAAGCCCCCTTCAGTATAGGGTTACAATGGGCCTCTCTGGCATGCACGACAATATGTAACATATGAACCGCATTCAATATTCTTGTACATAGGTGCCCTTGACATTCGTGTTTACATTCATATGTAAGGATGGGTGCAAAATCTTTTTGAGGGTAGGGGGGTTTAAGTGCTTGGGTGCAATTACCCTTTTTTCCGACTAAACATTTTGTTTTTTACTACATAGGGTCTAAAAGTCCCTTATGTGATATTTTGCTGCGACAGATTCTCTTTATTGAGACTTCAGTGTAATCTGATGAAACCCCTAATGTCACATTAAAGAGAACTATTAGAGAGAACTACTCTGAGTAATATATCACATTTATGTGCTCTAAAATTAACTTTTGGGTAATTTTGTATTGAAATTTTGCAACTTAGTAAACGCCTGTGTGAATATAGAACATGAAATTTGGACTGCCACCACAAAACTTGTGACAAACTTGTGTAAAAAAATGTGGCTGGGTCAGGGACAAATTTGGTTCTTGAGCTTCTTTGGAGTGACAAAGGTGCACGGGGCAACCCATTCAAATGAACATGCTGTCCTTTGTAAGACTGGGAAAAAAAAAATGAGCAGGAATGCACATTTCTACTAAGCGAAATGTGAATGGGGCTCTATTCTCCGGTTTGTCGGCTTTCATAAAATATATACTATTGGAGGTTGTAAATAATCTTGAGGCTTACAATTATTTTTTAAAAATGAGTGCCAAAACTGCAAAAATGACTGACAGCGAAAAGGTTAAAAGATAAGGCCAGAAAAAAGACAAGAAAATAATTACCCTGACAGCAATTTGTACCTCAGGTACAAATACTCCTTCCAAAGCAGGAGTCGCTACACACCACCCTGGAAGTCAGCTATCAGATTTCCATAGTAACTCAATTGCTGGAGACCTTCCTCTTCAACTTTGCATATATGTCCTGCAACCCCATAGATTGTAATTGTACCTCCTTAACCCAAGTGGTCTGGAACAGCAGAAGATAAAATGTTCCTAAACTTTCCTTTTGTCTCTGTCAAGTGACCTGTGACTCAGAGAAAACCTGGCAATGTCCCCTCTCAGTCTGCACTGGGACATGCTCGGGTGGTACTACATTTGCACACTACCAGTGCTGCTGCTCCATACCATGGCATCTACACTACCAAAACAGAATCCAGGCATGCTAAGGGAAACATTCACTGCACCAACCTTGTCTGGGAAATGGTTTGAATAGTTTTTTTTTTTTAAATGCCTTACCTGTTCACTATGCCGTCAAATTGCCTTTTCTATTTTTACACATGCTTTTTTGCGTCTATTATGTTGTAATTTGCTGTAGGGAACACCAAATGTGGAGAGACTAATTAAGTGGACTGTCTGTAAGCACAGTAAATGGGGTTGTAAAGACAGTGATCTCTGTCTCTTGTAATATGCTGACAGTCTCTGTTTCCTACAGCAAGTTTGAAGTCTGACCGTTACTTACACAGCATCTCTGCAATCCCCGATTCCTTTATAGCATTTGTGCAGTTCTGGACTTCAACATTTCATGTGCCAATTAGTATATGTGGCCCTTCAACTACATGAAGTATTGCAAGTGAGGGCTCCTAAATCTAGTACAGTGACCACCACTGATGTAAAGCATACCTCTTTTAGCTGTTCTTTGCGCAGCTTATATTCACGTTTCTGTGACTCTAAGAAGCTATTCAGCTCTTTCTTCTGTTGAGCCTGAATGTGCTGCTGGAACTTCTTTTCTTCATTAGCCATCAGCTTTAACTGTTACAAAAACACATACAATCAATCAGATAGTGTCTTATGGCTTTAAAACAAACATATATGGGGAACATTGTTATTCTTTAAGGTCTCGTACATTAAATCAGCATTATCGCAACTCACAGACAAAAGTATTTTCAGTTAATTCTCAATCATAGGCACATTAGTACTAACAGTGGTTTCGATGTCATACATTAAAGTGTATTTCCACTTCCGCAGCTAAAATTCAATAACCCCTACTTTATATTTGTTATGCGTTTCCATGGAAATTCCTACTTCGCTTTTCCCCAATGTGTCATTCTAAGGAAGGGGCTATGGAGTTAAAGTGGAGTTCCACCTGAAAAAAAAAAATAAAAGTCAGCAGCTACAAAAACTGTAGCTGCTGACCTTTAAAACACAGACACTTACCTGTCCCTCGGACCACCGCTGGTTTCACTAGCCGTCTTCTCTCCCTGGCTCCAGCAACTTCAGTGTGGGCACCCGGCTGTGACAGCTTGCGGCTTCACAGCCGGGTACCCACTGTGCACGCGCTAGAAGCGCTGCATTTTGTGAATGGCCCCGTAATCTTCTGGGACCTGTCACGTGTCCCAGAAGTCTACAGGGAGGAGGGGGGGGGGGGGGTGGTTGACAACTTCTGCTTCCGATCATCAAGGCGATCACAGAGGAAGTGGGAGCGAGTACCTGTCAAATTCAGGAACCCGCTCCCTCTCCGCTTCCGAAAGGTGCCAATCCTTAATAGGGAGCGGGGGCAAAGGCTTCAAGCAGAACTTCCCCTTTTTGGTGGAGCTTCGCTTTAAGTTTACCACTGTCTGTACTGTGATGGCAGATCTTCATTGTCAGTTGTAAACTAGACGTGCACACTGTCCCAACAAAGGGTTAAAGTTCTTAAGTCTAGGGCTGTACATTGCATGTTAGTTCACTTTTTAAAAACTGCCCATACACCTGTCACCTAATTGCACACTGGAAACCATTTTGAACAATACAAGCTGCCTATAGAGTCCTATTTATAAACCTGCTTCAAAAAAACAACTAGAAAGGTAAGAAATTTGTATTTTTAAATTGCACTTTAAGCTACAAGCACTAAAAATACCCAATAAAATAAATATAACATCAGATAATGCACAGCACACCTTGCAATATGTGCAACCAAGAATCCCTTATTTAACAGTTTGCCAGACATGCTTATCTGTGTATAAAAAATGCACATAAAATTGGCTTATTATCTACCTCATTTTCTTTCTATGTCCTTTGAAGAAAAAAACTCGAGAGAAAGAGGAAAATTAGTTTTAACTGCATGGCCTTAAAAGAAGGCCATGAATATTGTATACAGGACAAAAGAAGGCCAAGTGAGCAACAATTCTCCATAAAATTGAATCTACACAAGAACAGCAGCCAGAACTTTTTTTTTTCCTTAAACTGAATTACAGTATGCTTTGCATACTGGCAGAAATCGTGAAATTTTGACATCGATATTTAAAATATGACTGATCATGCCAAAAAGACTTTTATTTAAGGATAATGATCACATGAAGCCATTTATCATCACATAGTTGCTTGGCTCCTTTTTAAATCATAACGATAGCAGAAATCACCCAAATGGCCCAGATCAAAAGTTTACATACCCTGGTTTGGCCTTGGTACAGACACACAAAGTGACAAACATAAGTTAAAATGGCAATTAAAAGGTTAATTCTCAACATCTGTGGCTTTTTAAATTGCAATTAGTGTCAGTGTATAAATAGTCAATGAGTTTGTTAGCACTAAGCAGGCTAGATACTGAGTCATGGGGAGCAGAAAATAACTGTCAAAAGACCTGTGTAACAAGGTAACGGAACTTTATAAAGACGGAAAAGGATATTAATAGATATCCAGAGCCTTGAATATGCCAGTCAGTACTGTTCTATCACTTATTAAGAAGTGGAAAATTTGTGGATCTCTTGATACCAAGCCAAGGTCAGGATGACCAAAAAAGACTGCAGCCACAACTGCCAGAAGAACTGTTAAGGACATAAGAAAAACCACACAGGTGACCTCAGAAGAAATACAGGATGCTCTGTAAAAAAAAAAAAAACGTGTGGTTGTTTCAAGGAGCACAATACGAAAACACTTGAACAATATTGAGCTGCATGGTTGAGTTACCAATTCCCGTTTACAACATGCCCAACAACACCTTGACACATCACAGCTTCTGATACACTGTAATCTGCAGTGACGAGACCAAAATAGAGCTTTATGGCAACAACCATAAGTGCTATGTTTGGAGAGGGGTCAACAAGAATACCATCCCCACTATGAAGTATGGTTTTGGATCACTGATGTACTGGGAGTGTGTGAGCTCTAAAAGGCACGGGGAATCTTGTGAAAATTGATGGCAAAATGAATGCAGCATGTTATTAGAAAATACCGGCAAACAATTTGTTTTCTACACGAAAGCTGCGCATGGACATTCCAGCATGACAATGACCCTAACCACAAGGCCAAGTTGACTCTCCAGTGCTTACAGCAGAAAAAGGTGAAAGTTCTGGTGTAGCCATCCTAGTCTCCTGACCTTAATGTCATCAAGCCACTCTGGGGAGATCTAAAATGCTGCAGGTCATGCAAGACGACCAAAGACTTTGCATGACCTGGAGGCATTTTGCCAAGATGCCTGCAAGAATTCAGGGACTCAGACAACTATTACCATAGACTGCACACGGTCATTGATGATAAATGGGGCAATGAACAGTATTAAGGTATGCAGATGGGGAGTCACTTAATTGGTTTACTTCCGGCCATGTTTTGTTTTATGATTGTGCCATCGGTTATGACATACAATTTTATATGAATCCCATAAGAAATAAAAGAATCCCATAAGAAATAAAAGAAATGTGCTTTGCCTGCTCACTCAGGTGTTCTTCAAAAATGGCACATACTGTACAAACTCTACAAGGGTATGCAAACTTTTAGGCACAACTGTATACAAAGCTGCAGTAGCCTCAAATAATCCCTAGACCCAAACAAAAAATGTATTATATTGCAGCTTACCAATCATTAGATGTGGTGGCTGCATTAGTTTAATTTTTTTTGGGGCTTTTTTAACCTCTGTTTTCACCTGGTGATCTGGCTAGTAACACGCCTCCTGTATTAGAGTACCCTAACTCTTGATGGAGTACAGGGGGCACCTTTGGACAGCAGCATTGTCAGTCGAACTCCAGGTTCGCTGAACTCCTGGTACTATTTTGTAAGCAGTTACAGCAGTTTTTTTTTCTTTTGGGTAAAGATTTTACATAAACTGGTCATTGCAAGCACCCCTGCTAGTGTTAAATGGTTTGTCTCATCCATGTAACTGATGCATTCTGCTGGAGAGCTTGTTTTTTTTGAAAAATAGATTTGCTGGCTGGATCACCAGGTGGAAATAGAAGTAAGAAAGCCAAAAATAGAAAATAAATACATCCATCACTTCTAAGAATTGGTAAACTGTAATAATAAATGTTTGGTTTTCAGTTTAATACTGTTGGAAAGTTCAGACTCCTACTGGCTCACCTCTTTGTCCATAGCCGCTTGGTGTTTTTTTAATAAGTTTTTCCATTTCTGCTGCAAAGTTGTTACGTTGAGTTTCCAAATCTTTGTCTAGTCGGAGCCGGTGTTCGTCCATCTCGGCCTTTAGCTTGTTTTCCAGTGCCATCAGTTGCTTTTGATGCTGCCGCCTCATGCGCTTGTATCCAGACATCTGTTCTCGAAGCTCTGAGTCTTGCTCATGTTCCTGTATTTGCCTCGTCACCTGAAGAAGACAGAATGGAACAACATTTGGTTTTCTTATCATATTCATTTATTTTTAAACCGGATTTATTTTAGAATATGGTCAGTGTAATTGCTGCTTTTTTTCAAAGACTCCTTGACCAACAACATCGCTGCATAAGGAAAATTCTATGTTGAAAAGAAACAGTAGAAAGATTTCTGCATAACCTCCTCAACCCTAAACCTTTGAAAGAGTATTGCATCTTACTAGTCAAGTGAATATAACATGGCCTTTATACAATCTCAAGCTAAAAATGTCAGGGTGACCATATACATTACAATCTTAATATAAGTCCATCTACAATTTGTGGTGCATTTAAGTATATATATTCTAGTTTTGGACAGGAAGGGGGGGCAGTTAGAATCTCTGTTAGGGTTACATTTCTTTCTTATACCCATTTAGAAAGAATTATTCTTGATTTTGTCCTAGGTACTGGTAATGATAGAAAGTGAATGGATGTCTACAAATTTATAGCTGTCATTAGGAAAAAAGTAAAGAGAAAATTTCATGATAGACAGGTGTTCCAGTGACAACTGGAACAAGACGGGATTCTCCTTAATCTACAGGACAGGAAATGAAAGCAAATCTTCACAGTGTAGATGCAAAAGGAATGAAGACCTGACAGAGGTCCTCACTCAAAAAAAAAACAAAACACTATTATGCCTTCAGATATTGATACCAAAAAAATGAAACCTACCAATGAGGCAGTACGAATGGTGGCAAAGTGCTCTCTGTTGCGATAATGAGACTTGTGACGAGAGACCTGGGGAGGAGACTGTGGCTCTGATGGTCGGGCTCTAGGTTCAGATTCCTCTGGGTAATTTTCTTCCTCCTTAATATTAAACAGGAAACATTAGTAAAGTTCAAAAGAGAAATTTTACTTTCTGACATGTTGACTCCAGTAGTAAAGCACCAAAACTATCACAATGTCCAACACATCAACTAATTGAAGATAGAAGATAAAATATAGATCACACTGCAGAACCCAAGAACCAGATCCTGGTTGCAGATAACCATAGTATTACTACCTGTCCACTGGAAGCAGGCCGGTCTCAGTATAAAATGCACCTGATTGTGCAGTGCTCAATCTGCTCACCCGACACCATTGAAGGGAGGTGTAATAACATAAAAACCTCAAGAACTTTGGCACCTTTGGGTGTGGACTGGATTATTCTATGTGTAAAGCAAAAACCTTTATAAAGAAAGCTCATCTAAATGTAATTATCCTTAAATCCATTGTTAAAAACAACCTACTGGGAATGGCAGTGGTTTCCCTGAGGCTTTTCACATTTGACTGTTCCACATCTTTTTGATGGAGAAAAGACAAGTGAATGGCTGAGGAATACAGAAACAAAAATGATCAAAAAGGATGAAAACTGATGAAAATGACAGAGAACATAACCTAGAGTTCATGGAAAAGATACTTGTTATTTATTAGAAAACACTGCTTCAATGCGGTAAAGCAAAGAAAAACCCAACACTCCCCCTTTTTCCACTCCCAAAACGACCTAAAGCCTAATCAGCTAAAAATATGCCCGGTCATAATAAAACAGTAGTTCAGACACAAATGCAATGAGCATATCTGCCTCTACACAGCTCCTACCATCACGATGTGACCGTGCTGGGACCGGAGCAAGCCAGTAGCTACTTCTAGGCAAATATCACCTGATATCAAGGGGGCAACGGTGATGAAGTTCAGGTTGCAGTTTAATAACCTAAAGTATTATATATATACTGGTACTTTCAATATTGTTAATTCTGCAAATCCTTGTCTTTCAGTTATATTTAAACATTCAGAACAGATACTTACTGTTTTGTACACATATACTGTATCAAAAAGCCACAGACTGATTTATTCAATCAGTAAATACTCACAGGTTTTAAATGGATGACGGAGCTGTTTGACATCACAGTATGATCTCCTTCCATCATGTCCAACTCACTCTTGTCATCTGAGGCATCCGGAAGACTATTCACACTACTGCTTTGGCTACTGGCACTAATGGACATGCTTGGAATAGACTGGTTACTGCCGATGCTGTTCACTGTTCCTGTTCTGCCAACTCCATGCTCTTGCTCCTAAGAAGGATATCAAGCAGTGTCATGAGAAGACCTTTCCACCACTCATACACCATCACAAATAGAACATAAAATCAAGTGCAAAAAGTACAATTTTAACAGGAAGGAAAAAGGTAAAACCTAAACCATAGTTAAAATAAAGTCTGCTTCGGTTGATTAGGTAGGCATTGCGAATCAAAGATGGAGTATGGAGGTGCTGTGGGTCCCACACTGAGTTATAATCACATGACCAAGAAATGAAGTGTTATAGGAGGTGTTCATTACAGCTAGTAATGGGGGGGGGGGGGTAGAAGAGGAGGATCCAGGCTGCTCTGTGCAAAACCACTGCACAGAGAAGGTAAGGATAACATATTATTTTTAAGGGGGGGGGGGGGGGTGAAAGACAAGACTTTAGTATGACTAGCTGCTATTAGACCACAAAGGCCAATTTAATTTCACACACCAGTACAAAGTGATCCTGAGATAGGCATTTTTCATTTGCATGGTCAAAGTTGAATATACTGTAAAATGCCAAGTAAAATGTGTTTGCAGTAGTGTATGGCAGAGCACTAAGAATGGGTCTCATACCTCTTCCTCCTCTTGAGTTTCCACAGCAGGTCCATTGTGGGCCTCCTGGAAAAGCAGCTTCTTCATTTTACGGTATTGTAGGTTATCCAACTCTCTGACTGCATCCTTTGTCCTCTGGATCAGGTCAATTAACACTGTTTCTGGTCGTTCACGCAAAGCAAACATGTGCTGTAATAAAACATATTATAAAACATAAGAAAGATTGACTCATAACACACCACATCTTGAAAAGAAAAAAAACAGACAAACAATGCTATATTTATATCCTCTTTAGAAAACATTTACATTGAGTGTACTATGGGCAACAACACTTATATGGGAAAATGTTTACAAATATACCATCAAAACTGTATATGGACATCCAGACGTTGCTGAGCTCTGGATGCATTATTACAAGCTCCTGTATGTGTGCATACAGTTGTTAATGACTGGTCAGTAAGTATAGTACACACTGCATCCAGAATGCAATAAAGGCAACTGTTATGAACCTAACCTACAGATGATCAACAATTATAATTAGAGATTATTCACCCTACTCACAAACATACCACACAATGAAAGTCACTGACCTTAAGCAGCTCATCTGATGTTGGCCTGTCTTGAGGGATTTTCTGCAGACAAGAGTCCACAAAGTTTCTGAAGTAGTCAGACCTTTAATATAAAGAGAGAGCACATAGATTTGTATTGAAGTAGTCACAGGATATTCTCATCAACAGAAAATTATAAGTGACAATATATATCATCTGAAATATGTTCACATAAAATCCATCATGCTATAGATTTGAAATGCTGCATTCTGTAATTAATGTACCTTTTGGACAAGAGATATTGTAACACCTTTAGGACCAGTAGATGCCTGTGCACCATTGTGCAGGTGCTCGGACTAAATTTAGCAGTTAATTTGATACCTCTAGGACTCATTTTTTTTGTTAAATGTTCTTGCATGGCAAGACCACTTACTGTTATCTCACATATATATTCTTATTATAGCCAAATTTACCACTCTAACGCCTCCCACAGTTTTTACACTACATAGACAGTAATATACCGAAACGTGCGGATTGTTCCCGATTGGTGTGCTATTATTTTCTGGAACGTTTCGCCGAATGGTTCACGAAATATCGGCGTTTTTGTGGTGAAATTGGTCCCATAGGAATGAGTGGCGGAATGTTCAAAACTAGAGTGGGAGCTGACAAAAGCTAGAGTGTGAGCTGAAAAATCAGGACATGATTTCTAAACTGCCATCACTCTCTCATTTTCAAGCCACTCCACCCAGTTACTCTGCCCACTCCAGTTGTAGACTACTGGTGGAGGAAAGAACACTTCACACAATTTCCCCAGAAATTGTAGCTTTTCTAGTTTTATTTGGTACTTCACAAATACCCTGTGCTTGGACTTTTTTTTGACAAATGAAATAGTAAGAAAAATGTTTCACATTAAAAAAATAACATGTATCACTATTTTATTAAACAATGTTCATATCTTAGAAAAAAAAAAATTCTGTGTGTGCAGAACGCATGCACCTAGAAGGAAATAGCTTGACAAATTCGAAGCACAAGAGGTTTGTTTATTGACAAACCTCAAGGTGTTTGAGAAGCTAGTAACCGATTAAGGGAGTGATGTCTCATTTCCGTGCCCTGCCTCTGCTAGTGGATTCTAAGGGTCCAAGCACACTGGGCTTTAAAAAAAAAAAAAAAAAAAAAAAAAAAAAAAACAACCGCCAGTTATTTTGGCAGAAAAAAAAAACAAAACAAAAGAACGCTCATATACGAGTGTTTTTGTACAGCCGTTTAGGAGCATTTAGCATTTTTTTCTGCCAGAAACTCTCAAAAACACAAGTCAGAAGTGTTATTTTTTTCTGCCTCTAAATGCTGAGCTTAAAATATGCCGCTAAACATCCTAATGTGCATGGACATATAGGATACATTGAGCTGCTTCTACAGGCAAAACACAAAATTCCAGTAGAAGCAGCAATTTTTTTTAAGGGCAGTGCATGAAGCCTAAATAGCAAATACAGAGAGCTCACTGAAGTAGAAGAGAACTTTTGCTTGGCTTATGCTGAGATTGTCATGTCACAGCCATAGCGGGGCAGAGTGAAGATCTCTATACAAAGCTCCCAAGGTTCAGCAAAAACTCAGTGGTAAAATCAAACCATTTTGGCTGGAAATGTGCTTTTATACCCACATTTTAATCAGAAGGGAAAAGGGATTGCAGGGAAAGAGCTAGGACCTTTGTTACTGCTTAAATAAAAAAAAAGTCACAGCTTTATCTATACATTACAGCTTTGTAAGGGTTACCACTTTTGTAAGGCACAGCTTTGGGATGTTATGACATAAGCCAAGGTACGTTTTTTTTATCACACTTGCAGGAACAGGCTGGGCTAGCTGCCAGCATACCAACCACAGTTCAATGGAGACTGCTCAGTTACTGGGTGGTGACCAGAAAGAGAACCAAAGAAAATAAAATGCCATGCATGTACTCTGACTGAGGTTGTAGAGGAGATATCACATGTTCACACCGATTCGGGATCCTGCCAGCTTCCACAAATCGACAATGTAATTCCACACTGAGAACTGAGTGCACACGTGGAAGAGCCATCAAGTGTGAAGCAAATGTACTGCTTAGACTATTATCACTGCTCATCCCAATCATTCTCAAGATGTAAATCTTCTTATTAAGCAAAACACAATGCTACTGCCAGCAGATGGAATATTAATCAGAAACAAGGTGGGTTTGTTGGGAATATAAAATTCTAGTGGGCTCATTAGTTAAATACTGTGAGGAAAATGCTTCAGCAACCCATAGGAGCCATTCTGCACAGCCATGCTTCTTTCTGTTGGAGGCTACACACAGGCATAGCTGGAAGGTAAACATTCTGTCAGGTTCGTTCACACAGCTAGGAATCGCAGTGACTTGCCACTCATCTAGTTAACATTATACCGTGTTCCTGCTGTAAAGAAAAGACAATGATGTAATGTCTGTGCACATAATGAACACTCACTACGTTTGGAGTACACTCACTAAGTTCTAGTATTCTGGAGAACAGCTGTAACAGTATGTGTTATAGGTAGTGGCGTCCCTAAGGTTGGTGTCACCCGGTGCGGGAACACTTGGTGACACCCCCCCCCCCCCCCCCCCCCCCCCCCTACTCTCTCTCCCCCTACCTACTACATGAAGCTGCAGTGCTGTCACCAGGGTTGGGGGATTACACACTGACCTGCTGCATACTCTGCCTGCCCCTCCAGCTGTCCGACTTCAGCCCCAGTGGCAGGTATGTGGACCCACCCCTCTGCTGAAACGCCGAGGATGAGAGGTGTCCGAAGTGCCTGCCTCACTGTCCGTCCCCTCAATGCTTGCTTATTTCAGCAGCGGAACATACAGGGACGGACTGAGCCTCTCATGGGGCCCTGTAGTGAACCCGGGCCCTTGGTCAGTCCGCCCCTGGTGAAGCGGGTCTGGTGAAACCCCCGTACAAAAGGTGTCACCCGATGCGGCGTGCACCCCCCGCTACCTGCCTAGGGACACCCTGGTTATAGGAAAGCTATATTGAAAGAAATAGAAGGGCAGCAATAAATCAAGATATAAAAGTGTTTTTATTGATTTATCTTTTAATAATTGCATGTGGTGGCAAGGAGCACGCTGGCAGGAGAAAAGTGCAGAGGGATAAGCTCATCAGCCTGTTGCTACTCCTTAAAGTGGATGTAAACCTAAAACGTTAAATATGAAAAAAAACACATGCTTCTAAACTATATACTTGCCTCTCTCCAAAGCACCAGTGATTTCTCTCTGCTGCCTGGTTCCTCTGTTGTCAGCATTAGTTAAAAAAGGTGAAACGGTGATGGGGAGGGAGCTGTAGCACACTGTCAATAATTCATATCCAAAGTTGTGCCTGTTGTCCATACTGAGTGAAAGGAAGGAGAGGTTTTCCTTCTTTCCAATCAATCCTGCCCCTGCTGCTAGATGCTGCAAACAATCCTTTCCTCTGTGTGCTCAGAACGATCTACAGAAGAAATGATTTCAGATATACAGCGGAGGCAGATTTTTTTCATCTCTGTGTATCACCTAATGCTAGTCACTTCACTGGGTATACGTACGGGTTTACAACCATTTTAACGGTCTAATCACAGGCTGGGTGCAGGCAGGTGACAAAGCTGTATCACTTAACTGCAATGGAGAAAAGTGAGGCCACCAACCAGCATTTGCTGTTTGACTGGGATGTGTAAATGTCAATACTAAATTGAGAGAGCAAATCCTCTGGAGGGTAAAACAGCTCACATAGAGCAGGTAAAGTAAGTATTGAACGTGTCACCAATTTTCTCAGTATATATATATTTCTAAAAGGTGCTATTGACAAGAAATTTTCA